AAAAATAAAACAAAAAAAAAGATTTGTTCATTCAAATTTGGATCAGACAAAAGGCCCCCCCAGATGACCTAAAAGCTCGGCCTTAAGCCCCCAGGTTCAGCCCCCCCCCCCCCGCTCAACCCATTTTCCCGATTTAAATGTCGACCATATGACAAATAGTCATACAATTGTCATGTCGCTTTCCCCAAATAAGTATGTGCTAATTATATTCTTCACTTTGTATTGACATAAGGATACAGCATGATGCAACAACAGGACAGCAGCTGCAGAGAGGAAAAGACAAGTCATAGAAGCCAGTGCTAACTCTACACCCTTGCACCCTACTGCACAAGAACATGTCGTGCCAGAATCGGTCCCATTGCCCACAAAGCAGAATAAGAACCAGCAGAAATCGGATGATTGAAATGGTCTTGTAGTTTTCGACAACTTGGGCATTTGGTTATCACCGATGTTTACCGCACGGTCAGAATTAAGGCAGAGCCAGACTTATTACGGTTATTTCGGTTTTTTAGGAGAAAGTACGAAATGTTCCATCTACTGATCTGTTGGGTGACGCCATGCTCAACGTTCTCGCGACACACACACACACACACACACACAATTTAAAACCATGCTCAACTTTCTCGCGACACACACACACAAACACACACACACACACAATGTAACACAGCCGTATTATATACGCCAGGTTTTCAGTTGTGTGATATAGCCTATTATTACTAATACAATCTTAGCCTACCATAATATGCCTACTGTATCACTTTAAACAGGTGGGTTAGATCAGCTTAATGCCGTCCACGGCGGAATATGATTTTTTCTGCCCCCCCCCCCCCCCCACCCCAAAAAAAAGGGCGTACTACCTCCCATGCCCCCTGCCTACGCTAGTGACTTACACTTAGTAAGAGGGGGGAGGGGGAAGTATACAAATACATTTAATTATAATAATGTATACGTGTAGCCCATGTTATCAAAATACCCCATTGAAATCTGTCATAGTTTTCAGAAGAGTATTTGAGTTTAAAGAAAGAAAAAAACAATTATAACATTTAAGCACTGACATAGAAACTATAGAGAACAAAACGAAACACAGACAAGATTTTTCATCAAATGAAATGGTCATTGGTTCATTGAGGGAAAAGAAGAACCAATATCAGTAAGGATTGGAAATGTTATAACTGAACATGAACACATTATCTATGTGTGTACTTTGGAGTAAATAGAAAGAAAAAACTTGTCAGAAAATACCAAAACCCCCGAAAAAAACAACAACAAAAAACCCCCAGCAAATTGTCGTACTTCACAGCAATAGATGAAAGACTTATAAAGATCCATTGAAAGAATCATAAAAAAAAAAAAAAAAAAAAACAGAAAAAAAAAA